GGCTACAGTGATATTGGTACGAAATATCAAAAGCAAAACGTATTTTATCCAGTAAAAATATCACTATAACCAATATTATCGGATGTAATGATATATCGGATATTATGATGGCAACAAAGAATCAAAACATGCATAACACACTATTATTATCGGCTATTGTGATAACTTTAAAATACATGTAGCAATAATATCAAACGCCCTATTTTTTACTTTCTTCACGTTGCTTATTTTTATAGTGATACATGTACATAACAGAATTTTTTAATGGAAATGCGGGCACTGTCAACTACAATGTATGCAGCATGCTCATTTGTCAAAACGCCATGCTGGAAGTACTATACATTGTATTTCCTTGCCTTTCATGTGTAGATTGAAAAAAGAAAAAAAATCGATCGTATCGCATATAGTGATGCATCGGTTATAGTGATAAAATCACGGAAATCAAAAGGGTACGCTATAGCCGATACAGACTGTACATGTATCAGCTATTCAGTTTTGACTACGCTGGAACCCTGCTGTAAAGATTGCTGGATCCGCCGCTGTACGCGTAAGCAAGATACTCCAGACGGCACGCACACTGCTCAGCTAATGCAACCACCCAAACTGGCCGATCACAGAAGTTAGTCGAGATTGGCTTGGAATTTCTCGGTGCTAGGCACATGGTGGACCGTGTCTTGCAACAAAATTCGCACTTCCGGTACAATAGTTTCATGTAGAGTTTTACAAGTTAGCTAGTTGAGTTGCCCTGGCATGCATGTGCAGTGATCACCGAGACCAGCGACAGGAAGCAGCTACACATGTACACGTACTGAAGTAGAATGCACACCAGTTCAACCAGCTTTGCAGCTCAGCTGGACAAGCCACAAGCACCAGCACAGCCCTGGAAACGGACCGCATTGTTCGCATTCCTGTCCAGCGCTGAGCCGACCCTTTCCAAATTTCCAGTGCATGCATAGCGGTACTGGTTAGATGGCAAAGTTTACAACCGATAGACTATTATGAACACTCAGTTTCAATTACTAGTAATAGTATGGTGGACTAAACATTGGGATACGGCAGGAGCTCAAATGACGTTATGCCTGTTGCAGTGTTGGGAGCAAACGACCGGTCTACAAACTACTACAAAGTCATGACATTGTATAGTGACTGATCCAGTGATATTGATAACATCGGGGAGAAGTGCCACAAGGGTCTGCCCATGAGTGCTGAGTAAAGGTGTGGTCCGCATGTCTGGATTGACATCTGCCAAGAGTTACTACACATTAGGGGTTGGGTAAATCAGGCATCATGGGTTGGGCTGGGTCAAATCACTCAACGGAGACCAAACAGTACAAATCTCTGCTGATGTTCGACCCTAACATATGTTCGAGCCCGAACTGCACAGTCAGTAGCCTAGTGTGGGATGTCTACTTTCATCTGGCTCAAGTACCAATCCTTACTTAGTTAGATGTGTATGCTGGTTTACACTGACATCAACACACTAAGGGTAGCCCATAGATGTGCGCACTTCACACTGCTATCCACAGCTGCGCAAGACTATAGTTATTATTTGACTATTTGTAGAGTTTGTTATGTACTGATCCTGTTCACAGGTTCGCAGGTTCACAGGTTTAGGTACAACACAGTTACACTGTCAGTAAATAATTCACCATAGCCAAGAGACGACACGGCACAAACTTGACAAAGCAGGCCCTAAAGTCATCATACTCATAGCAACACATCGAATCACATACGTATACAATCCAGCCATCCAAGATAGTTTGTTGACAGCTCGTTGCCCCGCGGCAGCGGCACAGGAAATAGAAGGAAATGACTTTTCACCAAAACACGCCGTTTCGTATTCGCGTGAACCCATTTGCAGGTCATGTGGGAAATTGAAGAACGCCCACAGACAAGCGACTTTCGGCAATGCAGCCTCAAACAACCAAGTTTCAACTAGATGAGATCGTGTTCTCCCTGGGCTTCCATGAGTCCCACCGGCGGTTACACAATTGCTGGTGGCCGTGACCAGTGAATGCCGCTTGAAAAGAAAACAACAGCAAAAATAGACAGGCCTTTTTCAAGTTTTGCTGCACAGTACTCTGGTACTGCAGTGCAGAGATCGGCAAGCTTGTTGTTTATGTTACGTACCAGCCAGGTGTTTGCAAAATCAGCCAGGTGCAACACCGAAAAACATAAAACAGGCAATGTGTGGCCACTTCGCACAGGAAAACTGAAGAAAACCCAGTGAATCCTGCCTAGAAGTAAAATATTAATTACGTCATTCTCACAGGTGAAGCTCTTGCATGCATGACATTGGCAGCACAGTCAAGCCGATGCACCAGATGCTAAATGGAGACTTCAACTAGTTCAAGTGATCAAAGATCGGATGGCCGACGAACTACAACTAAACGCGAGGCGTTTGTCAGCAGTCAAAATCGCCCAACGAGGAATCGGCACGGTGTCAGCTCGATGCTGATAAGTTGCCACGTCCATGGATAACAGACGGCTGGCAAGGACATTGACGGCTCACTGAATTCATTCTTGAGGATTGCAAAGAGAAGAGAGAGAAAGAGATCAGAGTTTGAAAATTCCGAAGTGCTGAGGAGATTCTCTTTGTTATTGTAAAATTTATTTTGTTAGTATTGTTGAATCTTGCTGCCCAGTAGATCTACGTAAGTCGTTACTTTAGGAGCTTGGCATCGCGAGTATTCCCTGGAGGTAGTGTAGCGAGAGTGCAGGTGAGCATCAAGTGATTGTTCGAGGAAGGACATCGCCTGCTTCTTTGTTCGCTGAATTTTGAATGGAGTTGGTGGAGGCGAGAGGGAGAACTCGGGAAATTGCAGACAGTACATTATGAGTCCAGTATTCTGGGCTCGACTATGGAGAGCGTGCACGTGTTTGTTGGTGGCGTGCTGTGTCGTACTGGCGGAACGGCGTGACGAAGCAGTGGGTGACTCGGATGCTTCTGAGCCTAATTCTCACCCAGCTCATCATTACCTAAATCAATGGGCAGTGGAGGTGCAGGGAGGGGAGGAAGGTGCGCGCCGAGTGGCAAGGGAAACTGGCTTCACCTATCTGTCCAAGGTAAGAAAGCGCTGCCGTTGGCGTTGTCTGCGTTTTCAATCACACACACACACACGTCACAAGCACGCACGTGTGTGCGTGCTTGTGTATTTGTGTGTGTGTCTGTGTCTGTATGTGCGTGTACTTGTTCTTGTACTGTACTAGTAGCAACCATTTAGTAAAGGTCATGTTGCGTAAGTTTAGGCTGTGTTGACACGAGGATTTTGATGCATTAACATGAGGCTTTCGACCCCTCACAGACATCCGCACTACCAGTGTGGTGTACACCTTCTAACGTTAAAAAGGATTTCTGATTTTCAATTGACCAGTGTCGAAGGTTTTAAATACCAGCCAGACACCTAAGGAGGAGAGTTGGAATCTAGAAGACATACTGGTACTGTCGTCCTTACTTACGTACTTGCACTGAGTTTCAGCCCATGTTGAAAACTCGTGTGGACACAGCCACATGGACGTATTGTAAGTCCACAAATATTCGGCGCATATTAATTTTCGCCTATTTTCAGCCTGGGCATTTTTTGGCCGAAAACTTGTTGCAGCCGAAGTTTTGTTTTGCAAGGTTCAGTGTGACAGTGTATACAGGTAGCAGCAGTACAGGCTGAAATTTCAATGCGGCCGAAATGTGTTTTAGTCCTGGGAGACCAACGTTTGAACGTGCTGACAATTTGTAGACTTACAGTACATGCCTCCCATTGGCACGTGCACAGACAGTAGGGTGAGGACATTGCATGCTGCTAACATGCCTTATGGAATGTCAATCCTGAAGTGCCGCCGGATGTCACTGAGTTGGACCCGCGCCAACAGTTGGGGGTGCGGACAGCGTTAACCCATGCCCATCCTGGATACAGCTTTGACTATACCCATACTGTATTCTAGACAGCATACAGCTTTGGCCATGCCCATATTGGATTACAGACAGCATACAGCTGTACCTGTACATTGTATGTTCAGTTCTCATTGATGAGAATTTTGATATAGCGTTTATTTCCACTCGAACACATAATATCATAGTCTTACTGTACGCACTCAGGTGGTGTGTCTTCGGGAGTAGTACTACTTCCAAGTAAAAGAACGTAGTTGCTCTCGACATTGGTATAGAGCTTGCACTTCCTGCCATCTGAAGCACCCACAGTGTTCACTGGTTTCTAGCAAGAAGAAAAAATTACCGGGGGGGGGGGGGGGTCAGGGGGGAACAACCCATACTTTCCAAGTTTCCATGTTCCACTATTGTCTTGTCATCCAACGTGAGCCCTAGAGTACTGGGAAGAAGTTCTGTATAGTTTGTTAACATTAGGCCTGAGAGTGAGCTGGGTATACCGGTGTTCTGTGTTATATGCTCTCGTATTGCTGTCTCTAATGCTGCATCTCTCCATCGCTAATTCAGCCTCGTACTCTATGTGTGTGTGTGTGTGTGTGTGTGTGTGTGTGTGTGTGTGTGTGTGTGTGTGTGTGTGCGTGCGTGCGTGCGTGCGTGTGTGTGTGCGTGCATGTGTGTGTGTGTGTGTGTGTGTGTGTGTGTGTGTGTGTGTGTGTGTGTGTGTGCGCACGCGTGCGTGCATGCGTGCATGCTTGCGTGCATGTGTGTGTGTGTGTGTGTGTGTGTATGATCTCTTTTTCCCCGGTATGTTTCTTACCACCAGGTGGGTACGCTGGATGACTTCCATACCTTTGCTCACCCGCATCACCCAGAAGTTCATCATGAACATGCACACGAGAAGACATCAGTTCTGCATGGACATACCGAGGTTTGTTCAGCTGCATGTGTGCATGTGTGTGTGTGTGTGTGTGGGGGGGTAGTGATCCAGTAGTGATCCAAGTCAGTCCTGAATGCCCTCCGACACCGTGTCTGTTCACGTCTTTAAGCCGAGTGGTGAACGTTGCATGCCAGGCCACACTGTGGCACTACTATTCTCTGTAACTGGTCTGTGCATCACTGTGCATGCATGCTCATGTACATCTCAAGTGTGTGTACATGTACATATATGTGCTCGTGTACTTGCTCAGGTATGTGCTGTTGTATGTGCTGATGTATGTGTTAATGATGCACATGCTCTTGGACATCTATGCCATGCTCGGTGTCCTTTCATCATGCATACGTATTCTGATGCTTGACTGGCACTCGTTCCTAGCAGTGATAGGCATGTATCTAGGGAAGTTAGTTTGGTCTGCTTGTTCAGTTAGGGTTTCCTCGCTCGTCCTCTTTGCCCCCAGCGGCACTATACATATTGCCCCCGGGGTAAGCGAGCAATTCACCTCTGTGCGTGCATGCACCGTTACCTGGTCACAGCCTGCATTTGTGTAGCCATCTAACTACTTGTATCTTGCTAGTTTTGTTAACTAGGGGTGAAACAATTACAGTCAACTTCGCTAAAAAGTTAGTAAAAACGACTGCGGATATAACGACAATTCGCGAATAACGACAGAATTTCCATGCCCAGAGTAAAGTCCCATCTAACTGTAATACTTGTACATATAATGAGACTTCGGGTATAAGGACACTTTTCTGATGCCCCGCTGAGTGTCGTTATACCCAAAGTTGACTGTATACCGAATATTCGATCACTCGCTCGTTTTTTGGAAAATAATCGTACTTGGAATAAGTCAGAGTACTCATTCATGCACTGGACACGCATTACTTCAGAAATAGATACTAGCAAGATAAAATGCAAGCTGTGAACAGGTAACTAGTTTTTTAGCCCTGGCTATGTACTGTAGGGAGACAGTAATGAGTATGGTTTAGCTAGTAACGCACTGTGTGAATGTCAGAAGTTCATCGTGCTTGGCCTCACTTCTGACGAGTTTCCGTGCGTATTTGTGTCCGTGATCTGTACGATCATTCCTTTACGTTCTTCGCTCTGTTTGTCCTCATTGTGGTGCAGGTGCGGTGGGCCGAACAGCAGAAGGTGTTGAAGCGGTCAAAGCGAAGCATAGCGTCGCAGGAGCATGCTCCGCGTCATCCTCATCACCGTCACCACCAACAGCATCCCAGCAGACGGAGACGGGGCTTGCCGAAGCGTGATGTCCCGCTGTCAGTGAACGCCACTGGCCACGGGCAACCGTACCATGATCCTCGCGACCCAATGTGGAGTCAGATGTGGTATCATGTGAGTGCTGTAATGCCATGACAATGTACTCATACAGTGGTGGCAACTGAAATCCAACCCCTGAATATCATGCTGGAGTGCAGCACCGATTCTAGTGGTCTGTATTTGGTAGTGTTGCCATCCCATGCTGGGTGTTTGCAATGTGAGCGCATCGCTACTAGGTGTCTGATTTCAGTTGCCAGTACTTTATGTTCATTGCCAGTTCACAATACACGCGCATGCACGGCCTGGTCAAGTCACCGTCATCAGGTTGAGCAGGGCCAGGCGGTCCAGATCAGCCGCGCACCCACACTGTGTGATACCCGCCGCCGCTCTGCATGGTACATGTTTGCTATGAACTGTATACAGTCATACACGTACATGTACATGATTGTAACCTTGGGCGTGCTGTCACTTGCTCTGCACACTGGATGATGAAGAAGCTGCGATGACGGTGGCCCCAGTAAGATTGAAGCTCCACGCTTGGACTGACCAGTACTTCGAAGTAGTAACTAGGGTGGCAGCAAGCAATCAAAGTGGCCCGCAAAAAGTTGTTCCATTCCAGCTGCCGTAATGAGTCAATAGCGAGGTTCTGCAAATCGAAAATGCGCACAAAGTAACACGTTAGTGTCGCGACGGGCCTTACGAGAATGTGTGCGAATGTTTGCATCGGACGTTTGCACACGCCCAAGTGCACGTACGCCGTGAACCCGTTGACCCGATCTCACGAACCTTCTCACAAAAGTTCTTTTCGCATTCCCTGCAAGCTTCGCGTCCAAAGTTGCGAAAGTTAAGTGCGAAGTTTCCTTCTTGACGCAGAGCGAAAATTTGTACGCTTTTTCGTTTTGCAGAACCTCTCTTTAGTTTTTTGTTCAACTCATCATCTGCTGGTGAAAACACGTGAAGACAAAGATGAAAAGGTAGCTGTTTTGTCTGTTGCATGTTGCCTTATTCAGCTCCTGATCTGCTCCAATGTATCCTGTGTTCTGTTTTGGCTCTTGTTTGTGGTTGACAGTTTCGTCGGTATCAGGAACCTATGCCAGTGTGGCGCCGTGGCTACACGGGGCGTGGTGTTGTCATTAGCATCCTCGACGACGGTACGCTGGTTTTCTCTGTGTTGCCGTAAATTGTTGACGTCGCTCATACCCAGCGTCTGTGTGATTAGGCACACACAGTGGACAGGTGCATCCATTGCTGTACTAACTACTTGATCTTCTAACCTTGGGTGTTCTCCAATGCATGGGTGTACTGTGCATGGCTTACCTCGGCTATCACCCAGTATCAACTATTTCTATGCCATCGAGCCCCCAGGTTTTTTGTTCCCTCCCAGCTCGAGTGGTCGTCGTGTGCTGACATGATGTTTGTGTATGTTCGCGTGTTTTTATCTTCCTGTGCGTGTGTGTGTGTGCGCGCGCGCGCGCGTGTGCGTGCCCATGTGTTCTCGTGTTCAGGCATTGAATACACGCATCCTGACTTGAAGAATCAATACGTAAGTGTGTGCACTGTGTGAGTACTGCAGCCTGCATGTGCTGCTTGTGCTGTGGCACTGCATGTGCTGTGGCACTGCATGTGCTGTGGCACTGCATCTCGAATAACGACTGTCAGTCCACACGTATTCGGCGCATATTTATTTTCGGCTATTTTCGGCCTGATCGTATTTGGCCGAAAATTTGTTGCAGCGGAAATTTTGTTGTGCAAGGTTCAGTGTGACAGTGTATACAGGCAGCAGCAGTACGGGCCGAAAATTGTTTCAGCCGAAATGTGTTTTAGCCCTGGGAGTCCGACATTTGAATGTGCCGAAAATTTGTCGACTTACACTTACAGTATGGTTTGTAGGATTGCGAAACCTGCCGGCACTTGTACCGAATGTGCTTGCTAACTTGCTAAGTGATCTTTCTTTAGTGCTTTCGGTATCTTATCCACTACGCTCTTGTGTGTATGTGTGTGTGTGTGTGCGTGCATGCTTGTGTGTGTGCGTGTATGTGTGTGTGTATGTGCGTGTGTGTGTGTGCCCTCCCCCCTCCCCCCCCCCCCCCCCCCCGTCATTGCAGGATCCAGAGGCAAGTTACGACTACAACGACAACGATCCAGACCCTAAACCACGACCATCGTATGAGAACAAGTGAGTGTAGCATAACTATGTTGTGTTTCGATGTATGTGAGATCTGCCGTATTTCCGAAAACGTAATAGATAAACTATTTTCAGTACACCGAAGGAACCTCTTGTTGCTGTTGTAGGGAATGAACGTGATAGCTGCTCAGGGACATTCTCCTTTCCACCTGCCTTCCTGAAATATATCTTTATGCGCTGTTATAAACTTATAATGATGCCATTCTGACCACATACTCCGTTGTGTACGGAAGGGTATTGGTAATAATGCATGTGTGTGTGTGTGTGTGTGTGTGTGTGTGTTTGTGCGTGCGTGCGTGTGTGTTTGTGTGTGTTTGTGTGCGTGTTTGTGTGTGCGTGCTTGTGTGTGTGTGTGTGTGTGTGTGTGTGTGTGTGTGTGTGTGTGTGTGTGTGTGCATGTTTGTGTGTGTGTGTGTGTGTGTGTGTGTGTGTGTGTTTGCGCACACGCGTGTGTATGTGCGTGCATGCGCTCATGGTGGTTCTATCCCGTTGTCGAACAGGCACGGAACTCGCTGTGCTGGCGAGGCATCTGCAGGTTTGAATGACGTCTGTGTGGTTGGTGCAGCATACAACAGCTCCATCGGTGGTGAGTGGCTTACTCCTTTGCCCTCTACTTCCATCTTGTAACCATTGGTTACTGTTGCCTGTAGGTAGTACATGTACATGTGCCGTTGTAGATTGGTATCTTGTACTGCATTCTGTTTCACATCTTTGTCCCATGACTAAATATGTACTGTCGTGGGCACTGAAATCCGATGATTGCCCATACGTGCAACAGGCACCCTTGGTGTCAACAACGCGTACATGTACGCCTAATGCGTAAATCCTGGCGGGAGAATTAGAACTTCTACCTTCACTTCGGAACAGGCGGAATTGAATTCCTTGGATTCTGACGGAGAAATCTGCGTGTATGCATGATGGGAAGTTCCAGAATGGACTGAATCGTGTGTCATCAAACACGCCCATTACTTCCATGTGTTCTTGCTCACACCATGACTGTGCGGGGGCTGCTACAGCACTGTCGGTCTCCGAAGAACTGGGGGAGGTCAGCCTCCTAGCCTAGACCGTTCTTAATTTCATGTACTACAGTCAATGCACAGTAGTGAGTCACTAGAGAGGTTGTGCATAACGAAAATTCGTAAAGATCTTTCGGAATCTGAGCCATCTGGAAGTGACGAAAATTCCTAAAGAAAATCTGTTGTGCTCAACGAAAAACGTAGTGTGACCATGGTGACCCTTTCGAGTACTTTTTCCGCTGTTTTCGCGCGTGGTGAACATTTTTTTGAATCAAGTGTGCACTCCGGCCCGGCCACGTGTAGGCACACCACCACCAAACTGAGTTGGGCTCAAGTTTTCCAGCTCACAGGCAACGATCTCCATGGCTGGAGACCCTCGTCGAAACGGTTAGTCGTGAGAACGAAGCTGCCTGAGAAGGGCCAGGTCCATCGCGAGATCAAATTTCCTTCGCTGAGACGTCGCAGGGGAAGACGAAGACGCCGAAGTGGCAGAATTCTCCTGCGAGGATTCAGCAGTATAATTTGTCACAGGGCGAGCACTGGCAGGACTTCCAGATCTGACAGAACTGACAAAACTAGCCGAGCGCTGTCCAGGTGACAGAGGATCGCTGAGAGAGCGGGAAAGAGATCCATCAGCTCCACAGGATGCCGAGTAGGAAGAACTCGCAGAACGACTTGAAAAGACCATGGCGAAAAAATCTTGACACCACGTGCATCAACACAGCTACATGTACATGTATACAGAAGCTTGCGAGAAAGAAGCGAAAGTTCAAAACGTAAGATCTTCAAGTTTCGCGATCATCCTCGCGAAAGTTCCTTTCCTTTTTCGTTACTCGTGCCCAGACTACGTCTAAGTTACGAATTTTCGTTATGCACAACCTCTCTACTGTGTATACATGTACATTGGTGTGCTGTACTTGCTGAAATTCTAGCCTGGTCGTTCTTCGGCGCTACCCGACAGTACTGTGTTGTTGTTGTTTTGTGCTGGTCATCGTCCAGGTGTTCGTATGCTGGACGGCACAGTGACGGACATAGTGGAGGGCCACTCGCTGAGCTTTCACCCGCAGCATATCGATATCTACAGTAGTAGCTGGGGACCGGACGATGATGGGCTAACTGTGGATGGTCCAGCACGCTTAGCACAGGCTGCGTTCAAGCAGGGTACTGAAAAAGTAGGTCTCCCCGTGTATAAACATGGTTTGGTTTGTTTGGCATGGAGCCCATAATTGAAATGAGATCACTTCATCCGGCATGCCACATAATATTATTGGGCGGGGGGGGGCTGTACATAAGCATGGATGAAAATTCGTATGTCGTATGGGCAGGGAGACGAGGGCGACTTCAAAACGTAAATCTCTCTACGGATTTCCGTAGGGAAGTGCTGTGTGTGTGTGTGGGGGGGGGGTGGAGGTGTTGTGAGTGGTATGTGGTATGCACACGTACATGCATGTACGTTCATGGGCATGGATTCACTTGTTACAGTTGCAACTACTCCTCCACTCCAGGGTGGGAGCTTGCACAGGATGTTCTCTTCAGAGCTGAAGAACGTTGCTGTCTGACTGTCGTACAGACACTTGTGGCAATTGGCCAGCAATGCACGCACGCAGGACATTGTGCCGATGGGCATCAAAAGAACCTGGAGGTTTTTTTGCAATCGACGAAAGCAAACTGTTGTAGAAGTTTACCAAACTCCCACTCCACAGCAACTCGTGCCTGGCTCGGTCTCGAGTTAAACCTGTTCTCCTCTGAAGTGAGGTGGGCACCTCTAAACGGCCCTATCAGAACGGCTGGCAAAGGTTACTCCACATCAACATACAGACTAGAGATAGGTGATGAGCCCAGTGGGGAGTTTGGCCGGTGCATGCGCTCTTCCCGTTGCTCCAGTAAACCAGATTCTGCCAGCAAGAACATGTCACGGTGCCAGCCGTTTACTGGGCCATACAGGTTGGCGATCATGCCAGTCAGGGTGACCGCCGACTGGAACTTTGAAACGTGTACACGCTTGTGGCCGTTATAAAACCGCCGCTGTCCTTGAATGGGCCGGCGCATGGGTCGAACGGTGCCGCCTATAAACCCCCAGACTTTCGTTGGCGGCGCATCTTTTCTGTGCACAATCCTGGCACACTCCTCCACTCTCTCTCTCTCTCTGGGGTCAGCCCCCTAGACTTTCGTTAGCGGCGCATCTTTTCGGTGCACAGTCCTGGCGTACTCCTCCACTCTCTCTGGGGTCAGCCATGGAGTGCCAAGGTTGTGTAGCAGCTCGCCCCAAGTCTCAGAAATATACTTCACCGTGCAGCTGAACAAAACAGAGAGTTCACTCTTTGGCCGGCCGAATACATCCTCTAAAGTCGAGAGGCGACAGGGGTATGCAAGGTGATACAACACAAGGCACAACTCGTCGAACCCCGACCGTTTCTTCTTGCAGGAACTCCTCATTTCCTGTGGCATTTGGAGAGCTGCGCACATGCGATCCATATCTTGTTTAGCGAAACGAAATGATGTTCTCCAGTGTTCTGCCGTCCACTTGGGGTCATTCGAATCAAACCGATGCCGCTCAGGACATTCTTCCTCCTCCTCGTTCAGCTCAGTCAGCAGCTGGATGAGGCCATGAGCCAGCTCGATATCACAGTCCATGCCGTCCAACAAAACAGCTCCAGTACCATCAGTACAGCGTGCCACTCGTCTACTGGATTCACCGTGCTTTCTTCTTGAAAGGAGATGAAAAGTGAGATCAACAATTGCCTTCATGTGGCAATCCAGGTGGTTGCACACTTTTGAAAGCGTCTGCAGATGCGGTTGACACGTTTCCAGTGCAACTAGGTACAACTAGCAGTCGTCGAAAAGGGGGAGGGGGTGGGGGTGGGAGAGGGAGAGAGAGACTAGGGATAGGGGTAAGTGAATACATCCCATCTCACAAGGAAGGGGAAGGAAGAGCGAGAAAGGGTGAATGGAACAGGGCGGACGGGAAAGTGTCAGCGGAGCACAACAAAAGTGGTAAGCAGGAAAATGTGGGAACAGGAAAGGGGCTGCAATAAGCAGGGTAGAAGGTCAGCGTGGAGTGCTTGCATGGGTACCATATTTTCGGAGTATAATCCGGACTTTGAACACTCATAATTCAACCAAAAACAGGGGTGTGTGGCTTATACTCTGATCGATGTTTGCATGCACGGCCAGTAAAGGGTTAGGGAGCATCTCATAAGTTCGCATTTATTTTGCGAACGTAACGCATTTCGAATAGACTTTACCCCCCTACCTCCCCCCTCTAGTCGAAAGTCTTATCGCACATTTTCCGTGTTTATCTACTGTACACGTCCATGCCCCATGCTACTGTATGGTATGCTTATGTACATGTACATGAATGTTTTGCTAGAGCAGTCGTGAATGGCATACAGTAGTACCGTATTTACTGAGTACAAGTACAATCAATGACATGTACACGCACATAAACATAGTTCCTCCACAACAACTGTACTGCTGTCAACGCTGGCCAGGTACATGTACACGGTTTGATCAGGCTGGTGTGACATTTGACACCTCTGAGTAGCCTGCATGCATGCAGTGCAAGGGTAGCTGATCTGCAAACATAGGTAGATCTCCACCTAAACACACTCATTTGCTGCAAGGATCTAGCACGGTAGTAGACTGTACAGTTCCAGAAAATGTGCCAACAGTCATTTTTCTATTCGAAAAGGGCGCTACCCCCCTACCCCCGTTTCGAAATGCGTTACGTTTAGAAACAAAATGCGAACTTCTGAGATGCTCCCTTAGTAGTATTTCATGGCAAAAATGGGGGGGGGGGGGGGGGGCTTATATTCCGGAAAATACGCAGAAATATTCGTCTGGAATTTAATTTCGTCTTTTTCGTCCAAAGAACGTTTGGACTAAATCAAATGTTGGACTAATGTCGATTTTGTCCTGCTTTTTAATACACTCTTATGGTCCAGAGACTAAATTTTCAACCGGACGAAATCCCTTTCTTTGGAGTTGGGTGAAATTATTGACCGACAGAATTTTCTGCTTGTACAGGATGTGTGCAGGAATGTGCAGATTTGTATATGTACGGGAGCGTGTTTACGGGATGCGCATGTGCATGTACGGTGGGGGAGGATAGACTCGTGGAATAAAAAGTGAGATTGAGCATCGCATGCACCTTCCCTGTAACGTGTGGAAATCTAAGCTGCTGTACACACTCTTGGAACGGTGGATGCGTCTTCATCGTAACACAGCATGATTAGCAGTTGTCGAGAAATCACGTAGAGCGAAACACAACAGCGTGTATGTTTGCCAAACCAATGAGTATTGCGCTGGATTCTGTCCTGCTTCCACTGTGTCTGTTTGTTGTCTGTAGGGACGTGGAGGCTTAGGGTCCATCTTTGTCTGGGCATCCGGCAATGGCGGATCGAAAGGTTCGTGGTGTTTCTCTAATTCTTTTGACAGTTTTGAGTGCTGGTATTGTAACTGGCAGCAGTTGAAATCTGCCCTTGTTAATACATGTGTAGCAGAGTTGTGTTTGCTGCAGAGATCAGTTCTTCTTTAGTGTTCACCTTGCCTGGGCTGTGCATCTCCAGACTTGTTATGTTCATGATGCCAGTGTCGTTGCTGCTGCTAAGGATGACTTCTTCATGTTTTAGTGAGAGGCTAGTCGTATGGTTAGAAGAGAAGGCAGAAAAACAAAACAAATAAAAACAGAAAAAAAGAAATGCCTGTGTATCTTGTGAAGTAAAATAAAAACAAACAACTTACTGCTGCTGGCGGGATGTCATTTACGGAGAGCTGGTAGTGGAAGAAGTAGCAAGGACAGGTGGTAGCAATTCATGCAGGATAGGAGGAGAGTGCACCATGGTCTCATTTGTCACAGCAAACATGTTGTGTGTGTCTTGTGTGTGTGTGTGTGTGTGTGTGTGTGTCTTGTGTGTGTGTGTGTGTGTGTGTGTGTGTGTGTGTGTGTGTGTGTGTGTGTGTGTGTGTGTGTGTCTGCATGTGCGACGTGTTGTTTGTGCTGATGCCTATATTCAGGTGATAGTTGTGGTTGTGATGGCTACACAAACACAATCTACTCTATCAGTGTGAGTGCCATGTCGGAACATGGTGCATCACCCTGGTATTCTGAACATTGCTCAAGTACTCTGGCCAGTACATACAGTAGTGGAAAGAAGTCACAGGGAGAAAGGCAAATTGTAAGTGTGTCTGCTGTGTGTGTGTACTTGTACACGTGTGTGTGGGTGGGTGTAGGTGTGTGGGTGTGTGGGTGTTTGTGTGTGCTGTGTGCTGTGTGTGCTGTGTGTGTGTGTGTATCTGCTGCGTGTGTGTATCTGCTGTGTGTGTGTATCTGCTGTGTGTGTGTGTGCGAGAGTATGCAGATTCATGTATGCTTGTATAAATTGCCAGCTGGTACTGTTGCTTGCACCATTGGATGTTGCCCAATGTTGCTTATTGACTATCCTATCCCAGTACGGTACTCTTCTGATGCGTTACATGCTGCACTGTCCACTATGGAGTGGAAACAAGACTTTAGTAACCAAGATGAAAGTTTTTTGTTTCCGCCCCCGATTCAGAATTCCTACGTTTGCTGTGGTCTATGCAAGCCATGATCTTGATTGAGACCTAGACCTGCGGGGGCCACAAGCGTGCTCCCAACCAGGGATACCATTATGCGAGTGTATGTGTGTAAATCGGCCATACCCCAAAGGTAACTGGAACTTGAAACGATAAGGGGGTTTCACCTCCGCATCGTTTCAAGTTCCAGTCCCCTGTAAAGTCTTCCGTATGGCCTATGTAGATGTTACGAGAACGACTCCTTGATGCACACAACGGCTGTCGTATGGACTCATCACGGTTTGCTGTCCTGTGTACATGTGTACATGTGTGTGTGTGCGTGTGTGTGTGTGCACTGTTGTGCTCAGGTGACGGTTGATTTAAACGGTGGCTGTACGTCAGCCCACACCGGCACATCTGCCGCTGCACCCATGGCTGCTGGACTTCTGGCTCTGGTCTTGGAAGCTAAGTAAGTTATCACACGGTCGTGCTGTTGGTGTTTGTTTGTTGTTCCGTATCGGTCAGGTCATAACTACAGTCAACTTCGCTAATAACGACGGCGAATATAACGACAATTCGCGAATAACGACAGAATTTCCATGCCCAGAGCAAAGTCCCATCTAACTGTAATACATATAATGAGACTTCGGGTATAAGGACACTTCGCGAATAAGGGCACTTTTCTGATGCCCCGCAGAGTGTCGTTATAAGCAAAGTTGACTGAACACTGCTGCTCAATGAAATCTGATACAGCAGCGAGTAAATGCCACACGGGACGTTGTGTAGCCCTAGACCTGGAAACACGCCATGTTCTGCTGGTGCAGGGCGCAATTCACTCTCACTTGATCGGATATCATCGAGCAGCATTGAACATGTATTTGCGTAGGTCTCAATCATTTGCTGTCTTGCAGTTCAAGGTTGCTCCTATCCGTGAGGTGCTAGTTGCCTGATACCAGACCATCCTTATTTCTGGAGATGGCTTACCAACCGCATTTTCAACTTTCTCTTCATCTGTGTGTGTGTCTCCGATGTTTCAGTGCTGACGAATTCTGTTGCGTTTGCTCTCCAAGATGCTATTGCATCATATCTGCTGTGGCTCATTATTATTCTGCTTTCTCTGCTATGTGCGGTGTGTGTGTGTCTCTGTGTGTGTGTGTGTGTCTGTGTGTGTGTGTGTGTGTGTGTGTCTGTGTGTGTGTGTGTGTGTGCCTGTGTGTGTACGTGTATGGCTATGTCCTGGCCCCTATCACCACCCCTTGCAGTCCCAAGCTAACATGGCGTGACGTGCAGCACATCGTGGTACTCACGTCGCAGCCGCACCCGCCGGACGCCGTCAACTACCAGCCCAACATCTGGACACGCAACGCGGCGGGTCACACGCACAGTCATGAGTTTGGCTTTGGTCTCATGCACACTGCGGCCATGGTGAACCTAGCCAGGCACTGGAGACGTGTACAGGACATGCACTCATGCCTGGAACACACTACGAATATTGACCAGTAAGTATGTTATAGCGATGGTCACTTACTGTGGTCACTGTGTGTGCTGTAACAGTTTTCCCCTGTTCTCTATAACTTTACACTCCCTCGCACCTCATGCGTCTTACGCCTGTCTATTAGCACCTTCATTGGCGCCATTGCCACATGTATACTATCACATTTTGCATATAACTGGTCGAGGCACGCTCAACCAGGCCTCTTACTTTTCAAGTTTGATTAAACCTGTTACACTGGTAGCAGAGGATGGTTCCTACTCTGCTTTTGGCAGGTGTTCTGGTCGCTCTGCTTACGCTCCTCGTACTCGTCGTTCGGCTGATAAACGATATCAAGACCGCTCAGCGCGTTATCCAAGGAAACCGAACGATACATCCGAACTCGGAACCGTGGGAGCCAACACCCCGCCTTACGAAAGAGCCGCCTGTGTTTGGAGGAGATTCCGCTACATTCAAAGAATGGACGTTTGCAATGGACATGGCCCTACGGTCGTTGGCGCTCCCAAATGCGGCACAGAGGGTCGACTACGCGGCAGGATTTTTGACTGGAAACGCTCGTCTTTGGTTGATAGCGGCATTGGAAGCTAACCAAGTGTTTTCCGACTGGCCTGCTCTGAAAGCGGCACTTGGCGATGTGTACGGACCACGGCACAACGAGGAAACATCGCGTATGGGACTAATTTCCGCAGCGCAGCGCGGGTCGCTGGACGCATACATTGCTGCTTTCACTCGCCTCAGCCTGCAAGTGCCGGAAATCGACCACCACACCAGAGCGCTGCTGTTCGTCAGGGGTCTAGTGCCGCACATCCAGCGACAGGTCATGCGTGAGCATCCACGTACCCTGGAGCAAGCTGTCATGGCAGCAAACACCGTGGAGCAGTCGCCAGGGCCACCGGCGTCGGGGCCACCAGCCAGTAGAGAGTCACGTTCCGTGCCCAGCTTCCGTGGTCAGACTCAGGGCCTCCGCAAGCTGACGGACCAAGAGCGTGTCCAACTGCGAGCAATGGGACACTGCTTTGCTTGCAGGAAGCCAGGCCACCTCGCTAAAGACTGTACTGAGGGTGGACAGCGCTACCCAAACGCTGGTCGCCAGTAAGAAAGGGGGTGCGCTTACTGGCGACGACCCAAGCACCCACGCCGGTACCAGTCGCTAACCGGTTCGGAGCTCTGGAGGTTGAAGACGTTGCTCTCCAGGAACCTACGGAGCCGGAGACATCCATAGCTGTAGGAAATTGTCCCGTTGCAGAAAGGTGTCATGTCAGCAACGTCAGCGTCGGCAATGAACCTGAACACGACCTACTGCGCATACAGGGAAAGATCGGCGGTCGCCGTGCAGTGATGCTGATAGATTCCGGTTCGACGCATGACTTCATTGCAGACAGTTTTGTTCGAAAGCATCATCTTGACACGGATGCAAGCTCAGCAGTGCTGAGCGTAACATTGGCGGACGGCTCGACCAGCGAGGTCCCGCAGATTTCCACACGCACGCTAAGGGTGACAGTCGGGGGCTTCAGTGAGGAACAGCACTTTACTGTGTATCCCCTGACTCGCTACGACGCTATTCTTGGCAAGCCGTGGCTTACAAGGAACAACCCCAGCATCAACTTCCGTACGAACGAAGTTCAGTTGGACGGTGAGCCCTTTGTTGCCAAATTGCCTTCAGCTAACCCGCCGACAGCCGACCGGCCATCTGTGGAAAGCATGTTTATCAGTGGCCGACAAGCTCGTCATGCCCTGAGGAGTGGAGCCGAGGGGTTTCTTGCATGGGTCACTGCTGCAAACGAGGAGAATCGTTCCGGGCCACAACTCCAGGAATCAGAGCAACAAGACATCCAGAACCTGCTCAAGAGGTACCAGGATTTATTTCCAGACGAGCTGCCGAATGAGCTTCCACCGAAGAGACCAGTCGACCATGAAATCCAGATAGAAGATGGAGCCAGACCACCGTCTCGACCCGCCTACCGCCTGCCGAAACCAGAGATGGACGAGCTCCAGTCACAGCTGTCAGAATTACTTGAGAAGGGATTCATTGAGCCAAGTAAGTCGCCATACGGTGCACCTGTGTTTTTTGTGAAAAAGTCGGATGGTACTCTGAGAATGGTGTGCGATTGGCGAGAATTGAATAGAATTACGATCAAAAACAAAGCTTGTCTTCCTAATATTGATGACTTATTCGACACGATCCAGGGCAGTGCATATTTCTCCAAGTTGGACTTGCGGTCGGGGTACAATCAAATCAGAATTCAAGACTCGGATGTTTCTAAGACGGCCATTAATACGCCGTTCGGCCACTTCCAATTTAGAGTCATGGGATTCGGGCTGACTAATGCCCCGGCCACCTTTCAGTCACTCATGAACTCTATTCTGCAACCGCATCTCCGAAAATTCGTTGTAGTATTCTTGGATGACATTCTAGTTTTCAGCAAGACCTGGGAAGATCATCAGCATCATCTTCAAACAGTTCTAGAAACACTTAGAAATAGTGAGCTGTATTGCAAACAGTCTAAATGCGAATTCGGCGTGAGAGAAGTTCTCTTCTTGGGGCATAAAATCAACGGCACATCAATTTCCCCTGATCCCAAGAAGATAAGTGCTGTGGAAACATGGCCAACTCCGTCGTCAGTAACTGATGTGAGGAAGTTTCTTGGCTTTGCAAACTATTTCCGAAGGTTCATAGATCGACACTCGACCATCTCTCGTCCATTAGAAGAAATCACCGGAAAAAATTCACGCTTTGAATGGAGCGCTGCTAGACAGAAGGCATTCGAGTCTCTAAAATCAGCATTACTCGAGGCGCCAGTGTTGCAACTGGCCGATGTTGAGAAAAGCTTCACGGTAGAAACTGACGCAAGTGACTTTGCCGTGGCGGGTGTGCTCCTGCAGCAGGGAGAAGATATGGATTTGCATCCCGTAGCCTATTGTAGTCGGAAACTGTCAGCTGCAGAACGCAACTATACTGCGGCCGAGAGGGAAACGTTGGCTGTGGTATTTGCATTAAAGTGCTGGAGAATCTATCTATTCCGCCACTTTGACCTGATGACTGATAATATGGGTGTTGTCTATTTACGAACCAAACCGACTCTCACCAAGCGTGAGGCAAGATGGGTAGAGTTTTTAGCTGACTATGACTTTACGGTCTTTCACAAACCAGGAAAGAAAAACATTGCCGACCCGCTTTCACGCCGTCCAGATCTGTTCAGTGATTCTGAAATAGGCGGGTTATCCTATCCTCCTAACATTCAGTTGAATGCCATAGAGCATACCCTAGAGATTAATCCAGACTTAGCGCAGTTAATTGTCAGCGGTTACAAGTGCGACAAGGATCTTGCTCCCATTATCAGGAGACTGAAAAATTCAAGCCATGACAATCTGCACGACCGTTACCTTCCAACACCCGGTTATCTTTATCTCAGATCTTCACCCCAGAACAGGTTATGCATTCCAAAGAGTAGCAAACTCCGACTCGCCCTGCTTCAAGAATACCATGACTGTGTGACTGCGGGGCATCCCGGTCGAGATCGCACCTATTTCAGACTCGCTAGATATTTCTATTGGCCCAGAATGGGACTGGATGTAAAGGCGTTTGTCAAGTCATGTGACGTCTGCCAACGAGTTAAAGGCGGCCAGCTAAAAACTGGTCTCTTGCAGAATTTACCAGTGCCCAGTCAGCCGTGGGCGGATATCTCGATGGATTTTATCATGGGTTTGCCTAGGACCGATACAGGTCATGATGCTATATATGTATTTGTAGACCGCTTGACAAAGTGTGTACATTTAGCACCTACTTCCTCTACTATTGACGCTAAAGGAAGTGCTGATCTGTATATTCAACATGTATTTCGACTTCATGGTTTGAGTTCTAGTATTGTATGTGATCGTGATCCAAGATTTACGGCAGCATTTTTTCAGGAATTGTTTGATCGCTTAGGAACGAAACTAGCATTTAGTACTGCCAATCACCCTCAGACAGATGGCCTAACTGAACGAGTAAACAGAATAGTAGAGGATGTGCTGAGGGCTTTTGTAAATCATAAACAAGATAACTGGGATATGCTCCTACCTCTCTGTGAGTTTTCTATCAACAGCGCTACTCAATCATCTACAGGAAACACACCGTTCTTCTTAAATTACGGTCTAAATCCCAGAGCGCCACCCGACTTCCTCAACCCTATTCAGGGAGGCAGAGATTCAGCTGATTGGTTGCAAGCAAGACAAGACGCGGTCAAGATCTCACAAGATGCGCTAGTGGCAGCTCAAGCTCGTCAGGCCTTCTATGCAGATCGGACAAGGGTCGAGGGAAAGCTGAAGGTGGGAGATTTGGTAATGGTCTACCGGGATTTCCTCCTGACTCCTGAAGCTCGGGACCGACCATCCCATAAATTACGCCCCAAGTGGTATGGCCCCTTTCCTATAACCCATGTGGTCGGCCCGAATGCCTACAAGCTCAAGTTGCCTCATACCAGCCGCTGTCACCCGGTATTTAATGTGTCGGCACTCCGTGCCTACGAGAAGAACGCTATTCCTAATAGGAGACAGCCTACGCCTCCGCCTATCACGGACCTTGATGGTCATGCCCGCTATGTGGTGGAGAACATTCTCAGTCACCGCCGCCGGCAGAATCAGCTTCAGTACCTAGTCAAGTGGCAAGGCTACTCTGATGCCACTTGGGAGCCTGAACATTATTTGTTGGATGAATCTGGTAATGACATTGTTCCACTTCAGAAGTACAAAACCTTGGCTTCTGCCCGCTGAGTTTTGCAGTTGAACTTCTAGTTTCACCTTACACATTTGTTGAGCTTATTACACTTTATTTGCATGGAGTTTCAGTCGTCTTATTGTGTTACTTCAGTGCGAAGCCTTTTTTCGTCTCGCACGTGTTTGCGCTTATTGTACTCTATTCCACTTGAGCATTTGGGTTATAAGCTCCTTCCTCTCCATAGGAGGGGGATGATGTAACAGTTTTCCCCTGTTCTCTATAACTTTACACTCCCTCGCACCTCATGCGTCTTACGCCTGTCTATTAGCACCTTCATTGGCGCCATTGCCACATGTATACTATCACATTTTGCATATAACTGGTCGAGGCACGCTCAACCAGGCCTCTTACTTTTCAAGTTTGATTAAACCTGTTACATGTGCGTACTAGGAGAGCAAGCAACTGCAACAGTGCATGTGCTGGTGATGCAACTAATCCATCACTTGCTCACTTTGAACATGAGCGGTTTGACTCTAAAGCACGGAGCCAAAGTCTAAATTCATAGTACAAGTGCAGACTCATCATCATCATCGCTGGACAGCTGCGCGTACATGTAGCTGTGTTGACTGTTGTTGGATCTCATTAGTGGAGCTCAGACTGACTGGTGAATAGTACACGTACATATTGGTATGGACTGAGAACAACTGTCTCTCATCAGAACGTTATTATTTCTAAATTCGAAATAACGAAACCCACGGTAAATGTGTCAGCTCGAGGGCTCCACACGTCACTGTTCCCCACTGGATCTTAAAGACCTGGAGTTGTACGGGATTGGAGTAGCACGCATGTTGCAAGATGTACCTATGTCAGTGCCTGTTACAGTTCCTATAATACTAGTACCTTTTTTCCAGTACAGCTATGCAAGTGCCCCCTGTTCATGTCTACACTGGGACTCCAATATAAGTGAGGAATGGCCCGTGCGTGCTCTGAGCCCTCAACTTGCGCGCCCCTTGACGTCCTGGAAGTGGTACGAATACGGCTGGACGTACACATGTACACATGCAATGATGTAATCAAAATCGGTACAGGGCGCCAGTTTTGCACTTTGGGTCGGATTTCGCCGAGCGCAACTGTAGTATAAGTGATGTATAGCCCATGCATGGTCTGAATCCATGCGTGGTCTGAATCCATGCGTGTTCTGAATCCATGCGTGGTCTAAATCCATGCGTGTTCTGAATCCATGTGTGGTCTAAATCCATGCATGTTCTGAATCCATGCATGGTCTGAATCCATGCGTGTTCTGAATCCATGCGTGTTCTGAATCCATACATGGTCTGAGCCCATGCGTGTTCTGAATCCATACTGGTGTCATGTTCTTGCTTTGAGTAAGAACATAAAGTCCACCATGCTGTGCTTGCTCTGGGTGAAACACAATCGTCAGCTTTCGAAAAGTGAAGTCATAGGTTACCTGCGAGTACTGTTGTACAAGCCACTGTGCACTGCATCAAGTGGCAGGAAAGTGCGAGCTCCAATAACCGAAACAGCCCGCTCTCAATACGAACTGTTCTTTTATCCATTGGGCAATGTCTAGGTGAAAAGACCAGGCCTGGTTGGACAGACATCCGGTTTGGTTTATAGACATGGCCACGTTTGTATGTTAGACTGTCCAATGTCAGTGGGGGTATCGACGTCAGTGTGTTAATGATAGCTAAAGCAGTTGGAATTTCCTTGTTCTTTTCACTAATGTTCCTCTTGTCCTTGGTTTTGGTGTGTGTGTGCGTGTGCGCACGTGTACTTATGTGTGTGCACGTGTGTGCATGTCTGTGTGTGCACGTGTGTGCATGTCTGTGTGTGCACGTGTGTGTGCACGTGTGGGCATGTGTGTTTATTTGTGTGTGCACGTCTGGGTTGCATTGTACCCACCCACGCACACACCAGGACCAAGCCCGGCACGTTCACCATAGAGGCGAGGGCCTGCCAGGGCACGGCAAACGAGGTGCGCTACGCTGAAAACGTCATCGCTATCATCAGCGTGGGCGGCAGTCGACGTGGTGGACTTAAGTTTGGCCTGACGTCACCGCAGGGCACCTACTCTGAACTGCTACCGTACCGACGTAAGGACTTTCACACCACGGGATTTGACAACTGGCGATTCCTGACCGTGCGCAGCTGGGGGGAGAATCCGCACGGCCAGTGGAAGTTCACCGTGGACGCACAGGCCAATGTCAGAGTCACTAGCATCCAGCTGGAGATTCACGGTACGTACGACGCGCCTGCGTTCACCCGCCTACCGGAGATGTCCGATTGTCATACCCAGTGCCATGACGGCTGTGTGGGCTTGTCCTCCAAGGACTGCCATAGCTGTAAGGAGATGACCGTGTTCCTGGACGACAACGCGTTTGACTGTGTGCCGTACGACAGCTGCCCGCCTGGCTTCTACAAGCAAGAGATCACATGTCGCAAGTGTGCCGTGAAGAACTGCTGGGAGTGTGGCAGTGATGGTCATGGTTGCGAGAGCTGCAGCCCCGGCTATAGTGTCCATGGCGGCCGGTGCGTGGTGCAGGTGCAGTGCACCAACGGCCAGATCTACTCGGAAGAGGCCGGCTCGTGCGTGGCGTGCGGCCCGCGCTGTGAGCGCTGTGCCAGCCCGTCTCAGTGTGCCGTGTGCCTGACTGGCTCTAAGCTCTGGCAGGATCAGTGCTGGGTGAGCTGCCCCACGCCGGCGTCCGTGCAAGAAGGTCATGATCTGTGCGTGGCGTGCAACGACGATTGCAACGGCTGCGGGCCAACCAACGACATCTGCACGGCTTGCAAGTCGCCCAAGGTACTCTGGACGAATGGCACATGCTTCACACAATGCCCTTCTGGATCTGTCACCGTGGAAGGTGTGTGCAAGTTATGCCCTGTGTCCTGTTTGCAATGTCGTGCCGACATGACCTGTACCCTATGCAAGCCCTCCACTCTAATCTTGCCTGGCTCCAGCGGTTCCGGCTGCGTGACCTCCTGTCCGCCAGGCTTCCGTGCCGACACAAGCGGCAGCTCGCACCGTTGCGAACCGTGCAATGCTGAACTGCTGTGTGCAGCCTGTACAGAGTCTGCGGGCGCGTGCAGTGCGTGTGATGGTGGCCGTGTGCTGTTGGCTAGTGGTCAATGTGCTGACCAGTGCCCAGATGGATATGCTGTTGATGGCTTGGGCAAGACATGTCAGCGCTGCTCTGTCCCTGGCTGTGTAGATTGCACTAACGATGCGCAGTCCTGTGCTATGTGCTCTGAGGACATGTTGCGTTTGACTGTGGCTGGCTCCGTGTCATGCGTAGCCTCCTGCCCAGCCGGTTACTTTGGATCTGAAGGTGCACGCGAATGCCAGCCGTGTGCCAGCGAGTGTAAATCATGTACCACGGCGGCCGACTCCTGCTCCAGCTGTCAGCCGCCGCTGTTGCTGCATGGCGGCGTGTGCCTGCGCGAGTGCCCGCAGGAAACGTTTGCCCAGTCACAGGGCGGTGTGTGCGTGGCGTGCGATCCGTCCTGTGCCCTCTGCAGAGGTCCCGGCGCTAACGACTGCGCGCGCTGTAGCGAGTCTGGCTACAAAGTGGACATGCTGTACGGCTGTGTGTCGTCCACGTGTAGGCCGGGTCAGTACGCTAACGCCACACACTGTATCCCATGCAGCACGGTGTGCGCCGAATGCAATGCATCAGCCGAGCAGTGCACGGCCTGTCCAACGGGAAAGTCCCTGATGCACGCGCAGTGCCTTGATGCATGCCCGAGTGGGTTCGTGGAGGACTCGCGTGGTATGTGCGTGGAGTGCAAGCGTAACTGTGCCGCATGCGCGCCGGGCAAGGTGCGTCTGGCCGGCGAATGCGTGCAGGGCTGCCCAGCGCATGGCTATGCGCGCGTGAACAGCGTGTGCGTCAAGTGCGTGGACGCGTCGTGCCGCTTGTGCCCTCGCTCGGCAGACCAGTGCTTGGACTGTCAGCTGCCCAATCGCTATCTGCTGGAGGGGCGCTGTGTGGCCACGTGTCCCCCCGGCCAGTTTGCCCACGGCCGTAACATCTGCTCCACGTGTCACTCGTCGTGTGCAGCGTGCGTGTCCGACAGTCCAGACTCCTGTACGGCATGTCACCGACCGTCCGTGCTGCAGTCCGGCTCGTGTGTGTCGACGTGCGACGATGGGTTCTTCCCGCAGGCGGCGGTGGTTGGTGGTGTCAAGTTGGGAGCCATGTGCACTGCGTGTAATGCCCGCTGTCTGCACTGTGAGTCGGCCGGTGTGTGTACTACGTGCAAGACCGGCTTTGCTCTGGCCGCCGGTAGCAAGACCTGTGTGAGCGAGTGCAGTGCCGGCGAGGTGTTGGACGTCTCGGCGCAGCGCTGCATCGCGTGCCCGCCTGGCTGCTCAACTTGCTCGCAGTCCGGCAAGTGTACCCGGTGCCAGGGCCAGCGCTGGCTACATCACGGTCAGTGCCTGCTGGAGTGCCCGCCACGCTTCTACCCGGAGTCGGCGACGGGGGCTCGCTGTCGCAAGTGCCACGCCGGCTGTGCGACGTGCAGCGGGCCCTCGGTGTGTCGCACCTGCATCGCCGGCCTGTTCCGCCACGCGGACGGGCTGTGCAGGGCCGAGTGTCCAAGCGGTGAGTACATACACCGTGACGGGGGTGCATGTCACAAGTGCAATTCGCTGTGCCTGACGTGCGCAGGTCCAGGTGAGAGTGACTGCGTCCAGTGTAAAGCTGTGCTGCCCAATGGCTGGTACTCTCGCCAGGACGGCAGCTGTGGAAGGTGCCACGCGTCGTGCAAGGCCTGCGCTGGTACTGCAACACCGTGCATTTCCTGCCGCGCCTCTCAGAAGCTGGTCAACGGCGCGTGTCTGGAGGTTCCTACGTCCTGTCGACCATCTCACTACCTGGATAAGAAGATTGGCCGATGCTTGCCCTGTGCTGATAACTGTGAGCAGTGCAGTAATGACGGCGGCGCTGTCGTGTGCGACAGGTGTGCCGTGACGCATCGCAAATCGCCCGTCGACGGTCGCTGCTATCCCTGCTGTACCGTCTTGGCCACCAGCACCACTCCGCCGTGCTGTGCTTGCTCACCGGACGCCAGTGCTCTGACATGCTCACCCGGCTCCTTCTCCACCGCACCATCGTCGACATCCGAGTCCTCGACGCACGGCAGCAGCCAGGTTGTTGAGGTGGTTCATCGCAATCGACAGGGCGTGCAGCCGACTGCTCGGCCCGACGACGAAGACGTGAGAATGCGAGCAAAGCGGCCGGGTGGTGTTGGTGGTGGAACTGACCAAGCACACACGTCTCGCAATGTGGCAGCCCGAGCTGTTGCCGTAGTTGTTGCCGGCATCGTGGCCTTCCTTGCCGTCATCTACTTTGTCATGCTGGTTTACCGACGTCTGGGTACTGGCTGGACACCGTCGGTGCAGTACAAGCGACTTGCCGTCGCTGACGAGGCTGCCGATGACGAAGAGGTCGACCTCTGAGCAGCAGATCTGCTGCTGGAGTAGTAAACTTACCACTCTAGTGTTGACTGCCCTTCATAGTATGTATGCGGTGGATTGGATTGCGTTTAAAACTACATATCCCCCCGCCCGGTATAAGGATGTGCTGTGCTGTGCCGCATGCCATCCCGCCGCCACCACGGTCAGTGCCTGCCGGTCTGGCTCTGACCTCTGCGTGCTTGGCCACACTCCGTGGAGCTAGTACCACACGCTCGCTCATGCATGTACGTCGAGTTGATTCTCACTTGGTATGAGCTGCTGCTGCTGCGTGTGTGTGTGTGCGCGCGCGCGCGCGCGTGTGTGCGTGTGTGTGTGCGTGTGTGTGTGTGTATGTCCTAGTATGTAGGATTCTAGACTTGAGTGACTGTTATCAAGGTAAAACCACGTGGCAAACTGTCAGCCATGCGTTGAACATCACCCACCGTGCCCCAGGCCAGGCGTAGCACACACACACAGCGCATGATATCAGTTTGCCGTTGCCTGCGTGAATGCAATGGCGCTCGGTTTCCTTTCTTCTCTATTTTTTTTACTATTCAGTATGTCTATAATGCTACTACTTTCCACTAGCTGAGCATGTCAACAATGCGTGTCCTCATCTTGAAAATTACCACCCCATTGTCTATAAATTAATCATCTCCTCGCCCAACGCGACGACACGAAACCCACCCCACCTTCGCGAAAGCCCATCATGCTCACGTTTCTTCTGTCCTGTGTCCATTTTTAGCTCTTTCTTCCCTCCTTCTCAATTCCCCAGATGGAGGATGGTTTGCATAAGCGTGACTAGTGTGTTGTATCAAGTTTCGTCTTTGCCTCGATCAACTCTGCCCCATTTTACCATTAATTTTAACCTGACTCTGATTTCTTGGTGTTTCTGCCCTAGTTCCCCTACTCATGGCCCACCATAATTATTAATATACACATCGTGATCATGAACATGGTTTTTTCACTGAAATTCTAGTTCAAACGTGTACCACAAATCTATTCTGTATTGAGCTTTGTGCAATGTATTCGGGGGAGGATAATCTATGCACAGCTGTGTGCGTGCGTGTGTGTTTTGAGTCTCTCTCCCCTCTCCTGGGTACACCCACGTGACCAGCTTTGGCAGTGAGCAACAAGTGTGTGTGTGTGTGTGTGTGTGTGTGTGCGTGTGTGTGTGTGTGTGTGTGTGCGCGCGTTTTTCTTCTCTTTCTCAGACTCTTCCTGACTTTTCTTTCATTCTCCTGGGTGGTTACCAACAGCCAGTGCATGCCGGAGGATGTTGTGTGATGGTGTGTGCGGGGAAAAATATGAAAAGACCAAAAATAGGGATTCACTGGCCAGAAAAGGAACCCAAAAAAAGTTTCATTCCGGCTGACCGAGTCTCCTTTCTGTTTTGAGGGGTTGCCGACCCGATCGTAAGTAACGTTAGTTCAGCCGCGATCGCGGCAACTAATAATATCAGACCGGGGAGTTGGCCAGACATACCTACTCTCAGGATTCTACAATTCCAGGTTCTTTACGGAAATATACCAGGAGTCCAGATACCCATTCCTCACCCTCACCACACAAGAAGACCAAAGCTTCACTCTAGGACCAAGTTCCAAGCAACCGAGAAGCAACAAGAACAACAACAACCTCTCGAAGCAAAGCATCGAGCTATATACTGCTATTATGTCCTAGTAGCGTGCAAGCTGAAGGAGCGAAGGGCGCGAGCAGCCAGCCAGCAAAGCATGAAATGTGATATGTTTCCCAACGCTATTCATAGACGAGACACGTGACATCGACGCCACGGCAAACACTTGACAAAGATACATGTAGGAGCAGACGGAATACAAATAAAATACAGATAGCAACACACGGACACGACATATCCCCCGCCTACGAACATGTTACGTCCTCGTAACAGAAGAAAAGTAACGGCACTGAAAAAGAAAGCAAAATAATAAAACTCTTGAAAACTTGAAAGGAAGGAACCAACCTCTTCCGACCCAAGAACTAAAGAAAACATAATGCGCCAGTCTTGCACAGACTCTCAGCCACAGCAGTGTTAGAAAAATAGGTTATGCCGTTACAACTACGTTCGAACAAGCTATTGGTCAGCCTGCAGGGATTGCTTCTGTGTTACTATCATTGTGAACTATTATATAATAAGACAAATCAAGACTAGACGGGTGACAAGACCAGAAACGTGTCCAGGAACTGGTAACTGACCCGAACTAACTTCACCTGAAATCCGCGGCTCCCGTTTGCGTGTTGCCTTCATCTTGACTTCCTCGATGTACCTGCTCTCCAGCTCTGGCTACGTCCAGCAGTTTATCGTCATGCTCCGGGACGGGCGCGTTGGTGATGGTGACCAACCGCGGTCGCCAGGGTGCAGTTTATCGTCGTACCCAGGACGCGTTGGTGATGTTGACCAACCGCGGTCGCCAGGGTGCAGTTTATCGTCGTACCCAGGACGGACGCGTTGGTGATGGTGACCAACCGCGGTCGCCAGGGTGCAGTTTACCGTCGTACCCAGGACGGGCTGCGGTGTGGTGGCGAGCCATTGGCAGCGCTCCCTCTCGCTGCCGAGGGTTCGGAATGTTAGTGGCACTGGACATCCTGGCGTGGTCGCCAAATGTCATGACCGGGGAGTTGGCCAGACATACTCTCCGGATTCTACAATTCCAGGTTCTTTACGGAAATATACCAGGAGTCCAGATACCCATTCCTCACCCTCACCACACAAGAAGACCAAAGCTTCACTCTAGGACCAAGTTCCAAGCAACCGAGAAGCAACAAGAACAACAACAACCTCTCGAAGCATTGCCATCACTGAGTCATTGTGGAAGTTGATAGTGTCTACTTGCAAGTATTATTTAGTGCAGGGCATTATGAAAGAGCTTGCCTTGTCTGTGTGTTTGTGGGAGGGGGGGGGGGGGGGGGGGGAGTTGAAGCCAACGTGGCTGTCCTGTTTGGTGCATTTGATCGGGATCTTATTGATCTGGTCTTGACTTACTCACTATAGTCTGATTCATACTACATTTCGCGTACGGAAACGCGTTGCGTAGCGAAAAAGTTGATCTGAGCTCAACTATTAATATTTTCGCGTACGGGAAAGCCACGGTCGCGCGATGACTTTCCCGTACGCGACATGAAGTATGAATCGGCCTTCACTCACTCACTCACTTAAGTTCCCTCTCTCTCTCTCTCTCTCTCTCTCTCTCTCTCTCTCTCTCTCTCTCTCTCTCTCTCTCTCTCTCTCTCTCTCTCGCTCTCTCTCTCTCTCTCTCTCTCTCTCTCTCTCTCTCTCTCTCTCTCTCTCTCTCTCTCTCTCTCTCTCTCTCTCTCTCTCTCTCTCTCTCTCTCTCTCTCTCTCTCTCTCTCTCTCTCTCTCTCTCTCTCTCTCTCTCTCTCTCTTTGCATCTTCCTGTCTGTCCATGTCTTGTTTCCATCTTCCCAGCGCGTTCAAGCAGTCTGACATTTGACCTGCGTCCAGCACCGCTACCTCTCCCTCCAACAGTGTTTGTCCAGGACGAAGATGAGAATGTCGTGGAGGCTGTCAGAGTGCGCACGCGACGACGCCTGTCTCACCACGTTGACCAGGTGCTGTTACCGGTGGCTCGGCGTACTGCCAAGTTTGTCAAGTCCACTCAGTTTGAGATCCTGATTCGCCAAAAAGGACACTTTTCTGATGCCCCGCCGGGGGTTGTTATACGCAAAGTAATTGACTGTATGTGGTTGCATTGATATGCTTTGGGTTTCTTTCCTCAAAGGAGAAGTGACACGTGCATGGTATATGCATAGACCGTTGAAGTTCGTGTGAATGCATTAGACGCACACAACACGTAGACGGCACTTTATATTTTTCAAAAAAATCCCGTATACATGAGCATGCGTGCGCACGTGTGTGTGCGTATGTGTGCGTGTGCGGGGGGGGGGGGGGGGGGTATACCGTAAAGTACCGCCAGAGCGCCCCGTCTCGCGAGAGCGCCCCACCTTGATTTTACAGCCAGAGGAAGGGAAATCGTATGGCAGAGTGAAACGAAGTTTGTACGATGTAAGAATCTTAGTGTACTAAGGTCACACTTGGCAGGTTTTCGTGTGGAGCTTGTGTCCGCTCGAAGGTACGGATTGACTGCAAAACGTGCAATATGTGTACAAGGTTCATGTCGTATGACCTATAGACAGCAGACCACCTCCACATTACGACCACGAAAGGATGAGATGGTGGGGTGCTCTGGCGGTACTTTACGGTACATGTACGTGTGAAGAGCAGGAACCAGTGCTGATAACGCAGGCGAAGCAGAGAGGAACGCAAAGCACACAATCACCTCTAATCTTCTACAAAATTTGTATGTGTTATTTAATAACACATAGCATCATAAGCAGAAAACGAGATATTGTGAGCACGACAGACAGACTCTCTCTCTCATACACATACACACACACACACACACACACACGCACACACACCTCAGACCTCAGACATGCCCATCGCGGAAGCGATGATAGCGAACAGCTATGGTAGACATAGCAACTTGTGCTGGGATTACACCATTCAACAGCTTGCAAGGCTGACACACAAACACACACACCACGAGACCATAAATCTGAAACGGCATGCATTCGACTTGCTTTAGAAGGCCACGGGTTACGTGATCCACATCAAGGCAATACGCACCACCAGCCCAGCTACATGTACCGATATCTCATACTATACAGCGACTGAACGTGGCACACATACTACACACAATAGCGCGTACACAGTGTTCGACGACTGTAAGCGTAAGGAGAACATTGCCGTGACGGCAATGTTCTCCTTACGCTTACAGTCGTCGAACACACCGAGAGACACAGAGGAACACAAACTAGGGTATACAGTGTACGTGTACATACATGTGCATGTACAATGTATACACAGCTATACACAGCTATGCATTTGCGTGTTTTCATGCTCACTTGAAAAGGTTTATGTATACGGCATGTATGGTTTATGTTGTTTGAGTACCTCCACTTTGAAGGTCGAAGTTGGATTATACAGGGCGTGAACAGGTGAGATTTTTATGTCTAGTAGTTAATTACCCTTACCTTAGCCCACCAAAGAAATCGGAATAATGAAACTCGATGGTGCTCCAACTTCATTTCGACGTAGAGAACTCGTCGTTTGAACATCTAAATTTCAAAGGGTAACCACTGATTTCGATGTGAAAAACGTTTCCTGATCGCCATAAAAAAATTCCCTGCCGACACACACCATAACAAGCTCCAATTTCACAAACAGTGGCCACAAACGGTTGCTCGTCATGAAGGTGGTTCGACACTTTCGACCAAATAATAATTCATTCACTTCCGGTTCCGTATTCAGTTGACAATTATTTTTGCCGTCATCAAGACTTATTTGGGCCCAAAAGTGCAAAAATCAGTGTAAAGTCTCGATTAGTGGGAGAGATCTGTTTTTTGCACGCTTGAGCGTGCATTTTTTTATTACTATGCACGTGCACTGCACGTACACTGCACGTGCACCCAGGGTCGAAACTGTACTCCATTTGTGTATGTCGCGTGTCGCATGTCGCAAAAGTTGAACTTTCTTCAACTTCTGCGACAGGTGCATTGCGACAGCTTGCGACAGCTTGCGACAGCTCGCGACAGGCAGTTTCTTGTCGCAACTGTCGCAAATCGCGTGTCGCGTCGCAGAAAGTTGTATTGTGAATCGGCCTTTAAAGGGGAAGTTAAGGCAAAAATTAAAATTTCACCAGTTGTAGTCTTCGGGGTGCTGAGTCGAATGGTCGTGGTCCGAGGAAGCTGAGACGCTCCCTTCCTACTTGAATCCCAATCGAACTCGCGCACTTCCACCGAAACTGGGTGACTGCGCCCTACTAGATGGGGATTTGTATGCAAAATGTCACTAAAAGCGCCGTTTCGTTCTTATAAAAGCACGGATGACCGCGATTGGCCCATATGTTGTAGTCTTTTGGACGCTGAGTCGACTGGTTTTGGTCCGAAAAGGCTGCGATGCAGCG